TATATAATATTTTATATATATATATATATATATATATATATAATAATGCAAAGTTAAAATTATTTATGCACAACTTCAGCTTTCAATCGGGCTGCTAGAGCCCTTCGTACTTGAAGTATTGAAGGATCTATAGTTTGCGCTGCTTCCAATTCTTGTTCTCCTTTCAGAGTTGCTTCAGCAACTGTTCTAGCGGAGCTCGGACGAGTTTTGTTCATTTCTAGCTGATGGCTCCTAGCTTCCTTTTTCAAAGCCACAAGTTTATCTCGCCTGGCTTTCAGATATTCTTGCCTCTTTTTAATATCTTCTGCATTCATCTGCAAAATGGAAGCAATACAATACATTTTTATTTTCATACACATTATTGTAGATTGAAATCTTCTAGTCATATTCATTTGTGTATGGAAATATGGAAACATTTGGAAAATTATTTGTACGTGTATTGATATCACATAAATGCAAGTGAATCAAAAGTAAATACCTTGTCTTCATCAGATTTCTTTTTTGAAGTCGGTATTGGTTTGAGAGGCTCGTTCTTCCTAAGTTTATCTAATGGCTTTTTCTCAGCCGATATGGTAGCACACTCAACTTCTTCTGTTGATTCGTCATCCGAAGTATTCCTGGAATCATCTTTCGATCTTCTTAATGCTTCTTCCAATAATGCTCTTTCATTGTGATATTCGGCAGTTAAACGCTCGTGTTCAGCGATCAATGTTGTTCCTGAGGATATACCTGGTTCTTCTTCGCTTTGATCTTCCAGAACACGTTTGCTGCACATATATGAAATACATGATTCCTCCGACACAAAAACCGTTCCAATTTTTACAAACATCTCTAATTCTTGTACGCCTCCAGATATGTTGACTAGTTTATTGATATATTTATGATATAACATACTGTATCAAATCCTCCATGACCAGTTCGTCGTCAAGGAAGCCATCAGTCTCGTATACAAGAGAGGCAGGTGTGAGACCGTATTTTTGTTCGATCATATTTAGCGCTTGCAGCTGGAGCTCCAAGTTCTTTTGTATCATCATTCTTTTGAATATTTCGTACTCATTCGCCGCCCATATTTGTTCGAATAGATTCTGTAAATACATGATATATAATTTTTAGAAAAAGAACGATGGATACAAAATATAGATAAATTATATCGCGTAATTTTCATGAACGTCTACCATTCATTTTTTTTTTTTGTTGTATTATAAGATGCGTTCAGGGAGCCGCTATTAGCGCTATTTGTGTCATTTTATCCTTGTTTTCGTCTAATAAACAACCAAGATAGAATGATAAAAGCGCTAATAGCATCTCCTCGAATGCATAAAAAATCTTTAAATATTATG